CAATGAAAGGTTCTGTAAACAGTTGTGGTCTGTGATCCCGTGGATGGCAATGAAAGGTTCTGTAAACAGTTGTGGTCTGTGATCCCGTGGATGGCAATGAAAGGTTCTGTAAACAGTTGTGGTCTGTGATCCCGTGGATGGCAATGAAAGGTTCTGTAAACAGTTGTGGTCTGTGATCCCGTGGATGGCAATGAAAGGTTCTGTAAACAGTTGTGGTCTGTGATCCCCTGGGTGGCAATGAAAGGTTCTGTAAACAATTGTGGTGTGTGGGATGCCAATGAAAGGTTCTGTAAACAATTATGGTGTGTGGTCCCATGGATGCCAATTCTACAGTTCATGGTTCAGTTTGACATCGTTTGGCTACTGGCACTATCTAGAAAAATGAAACATACTTAGCGTTTCGATATCAGCTACAATGTAAATGTGCTGTGAAAGAAAGAGGCACAACGCGTACATCTTTCAAGAGAAGAAGAAAAGGGCACTGAGTGAATGATGAACCAGAGAACTTCACAGCCCCAAATCATCTGCAATATTTAAGTGTACAGTTTGAACTGATTTCCAGTTTTAAAACATGGTGAAATAGAATCTGTTGTTAGTGAGTGAGTGAGTATGGTTTTATGCAGCTTTCAGAAGTATTCCAGCAATATCTCGGGTAGGGACACAAGAAATGGGCTTCAGACGTTGTACCCACGTGAGGAATAAAACTCGGTCTTAGGCATGACGAGCCAACGCTTTAACCACTAGGCTACCCCACCGCCCAAACAGAATATGCTAAAAGCGAAACGTCAATCAAATTAACGTTAAGACGAATCCTGATGAATGTTTTTAGAGGCTTAAAAAGCAAACTATCCTTCGACACTGGTGTAAAGACACTTTGGTCTGTTTTTACAGATGTCTGAAAACCTTTGCTCTTGCTGTCAACCACTAGCTTGTGAAGAATGCGCTTTGATGTAATTGTGCTATTGTCCGCTATCATACAGCTGGAATATGACTGCGATGTTGACAACAAACAGACAAACACACCGACAGTATCCCGTGAAAATGAATGTATACAGAGGGATTTTACGTCAGCTTACGTCGATTCGCTGTGGGTGTGTCATGTCCCCAGCAAGGATTTTCGTCACCCGTCTTTAAAATACATGTCTTCACAATCCTTTAAAATATAATCGGAATGTCTTGATATATCGTTTAGTGTCTGCGTGTGTTTGACAGGTACACGTGTTCACTATCTGCACGTGTTTGACAGCTAAGCTTGTTCCATATCTGCACGTGTTTGACAGGTAAACATGTTCACTCTCTGCACGTGTTTGACAGGTAAACATGTTCCCTCTCTGCACGTGTTCGACAGGTAAACATGTTCACTCTCTGCACGTGTTTGACAGGTAAGCTTGTTCCATATCTGCACGTGTTTGACAGGTAAGCTTGTTCCATATCTGCACGTGTTTGACAGGTAAACATGTTCCCTCTCTGCACGTGTTTGACAGCTAAGCTTGTTCCATATCTGCACGTGTTTGACAGGTAAACTATGTTCCCTCTCTGCACGTGTTTGACAGGTAAACATGTTCCCTCTCTGCACGTGTTTGACAGGTAAACTTGTTCACTCTCTGCACGTACTTGACAGCTAAGGTTGCTCCATATCTGCACGTGTTTGACAGGTAAACATGTTCCCTCTCTGCACGTGTTTGACAGGTAAACATGTTCCCTCTCTGCACGTGTTTGACAGGTAAACTTGTTCACTCTTTGCACGGTGTTTGACGGGTAAACATGTTCCCCCTCTGCGTGTTTGACAGGTAAACTCTGCACGTGTTTGACAGATAAACATGTTCACTCTCTGCACGTGTTTGACGGGTAAACATGTTCCCTCTCTGCGTGTTTGACAGGTAAACATGTTCACTCTCTGCACGTGTTTGACAGGTAAACATGTTCACCCTCTGCACGTGTTCGACAGGTAAACATATTTCCCTCTGCACGTGTTTGACAGATAAACATGTTCACTCTCTGCACGTGTTTGACAGGTAAACATGTTCCCTCTCTGCACGTGTTTGACAGCTAAGCTTGTTCCATATCTGCACGTGTTTGACGGGTAAACTATGTTCCTCTCTGCACGTGTTTGACAGGTAAACATGTTCCTCCTCTGCACGTGTTTGACAGGTAAACTTGTTCACTCTCTCTGCACGTACTTGACAGCTAAGGTTGCTCCATATCTGCATCGTGTTTGACAGGTAAACATGTTCCCTCTCTGCACGTGTTTGACAGGTAAACATGTTCCCTCTCTGCACGTGTTTGACAGGTAAACTTGTTCACTCTTTGCACGTGTTTGACAGGTAAACATGTTCCCCCTCTGCACGTGTTTGACAGGTAAACATGTTCCCTCTCTGCACGTGTTTGACAGGTAAACATGTTCCCTCTCTGCACGTGTTTGACAGGTAAACATGTTCCCTCTCTGCACGTGTTTGACAGATAAACTTGTTCACTCTCTGCACGTGTTTGACAGGTAAACATGTTCCCTCTCTGCACGTGTTTAACAGGTAAACATGTTCACTCTCTGCACGTGTTTGACAGGTAAACATGTTCACCCTCTGCACGTGTTCGACAGGTAAACATGTTCCCTCTGCACGTGTTTGACAGGTAAACATGTTCACTCTCTGCACGTGTTTGACAGGTAAACATGTTCCCTCTCTGCACGTGTTTGACAGCTAAGCTTGTTCCATATCTGCACGTGTTTGACAGGTAAACATGTTCCCTCTCTGCACGTGTTTGACAGATAAATGTGTTCTGCATGTGTTTAGATGGAACATACCACACGTGTAGCCCGTGTATACATGAACATGTTTGTGATCATGTCTTGTGCAAGTCTTGTGAGTCTATTTCAAATACATTTCGTACAACCTAATTCTAACTTGATTCTAACATCACTTCAAATGCTATCGATTAGCGCAAAGTGAGTGAGTGAGTTTAGTTTAAGGCCGCAGTCAGCAATATTCCAGCCTCATGGCGGCAGTCTGTAAATAATCGAGTCTAGACCAGGCAATCCAGTGATCAACAACATGAGCATCGGTCTGCGCAATTGGGATACAATGACATGTGTCAACCAAGTCAGTGAGCCTGACCACCCGATCCCGTTAGTCGCCTCTTACGAATTGTGCAAATAACACAGTCGAGGATCATGTTTGTATCCTGAGCAGAGTTATGAGCGTACATAAAAAATATGTTGCATGTGTCTCAAATGCTGATTTAATGACCACAAATCATACAAGTTTAATAACTAGATTTATTTACAAATAGTTATAGTAATATCACAGTCTGTAAGGTTCTTGTGGGAGGAATGTCCGACGTTATAAGAGTAATATCCGACGTTATAAGAGTAATATCCGACGTTATAAGAGTAATATCCGACGTTATAAGAGTAATATCCGACGTTATAAGAGTAATATCCGACGTTATAAGAGTAATATCCGACGTTATAAGAGTAATGTCCGACGTTATAAGAGTAATGTCCGACGTTATAAGAGTAATATCCGACGTTATAAGAGTAATGTCCGACGTTATAAGAGTAATATCCGACGTTATAAGAGTAATATCCGACGTTATAAGAGTAATATCCGACGTTATAAGATGATGACGGCTGTACAGAAACCAAGGAGCAAGTATTCAGAACCACGCTGTAAGATTGAAGGCACCTAACCGCAAGCACACGTCAGCCGTCTAACTAGGGGTGACTATTGAGAAATAACAACTATTGAGATAGCAATAGTCTATTGCAACATACTATTGCGATAGCCTATTGCGGCTAACTATTGCAATACTATTGCAATAGTTTTTTCCCTTGATATGTCTGATTTGAAGTTATTTCCAAATGAATGCATGGTTTATATAAAAACAAGTTGAAGTAGTTTCAGTCTCTTTTAATAACCGACCAGAAACATCAAAGCCAGATCAAGTAACAGTTGAAACATAAACTCAATGAATCTGCAAGTCTGCACCCAAACATCGTGTATTTTGTGCTGGGCATTTATCAACGGAATCAATTACTAAATTATCGACAATCACACATACTATGGAAACAATTTTCGTTTCTACCATCGATTAATTGCTATCGGACACTCAACAATTGCAATCCATCGACAGTTCGATGCATCGTTAGAGCCCTACATCTAACCCACTCAGCCACCACATCTTCCACGAAAATGGAAATCTGACAGCTCGTAGTGAAGATCACGTTCTGTGTGTATCCTTCTGACAAGTGTAGATTGACACGGCTGTGAACACACATGTGCCTTGAAGAAAATAAAAAAACGACATGATGTAATAACCCTTCATCACCGAGGATGCGTGAAACAATGCCATTTTCCAAGTTTCAATTTTGAAATTTTCGATCTCCAAGTGTTTTGAACGATATGAACATTAGGATACGCATACACTTGAAACAATTCAGTTATATTCTCATTGACACAAATTCTCATGTCATTAACTGTTGTGAACAATATTTAAATTATATAAAATAATGTAACACCGTGGGGCGCGGTGGGCGAGCTGGCTAAGGCGCCAGGCTAGTGATCCAGCGAGGTTGAGGTGTCGGGATCGAGCCCACCTGTGACTGGAGTCAACTTTGTGTGTAGACTCTTTCAGTGTTGTCACAACCCCTACTGTACATTACACAACCCTGTGCACTTAAAAGAACCCACGAATCCGTTGGTATTTGACCTGATGGTGGCCACATGAATACGTGCAAACACCTAGTTGCGGGTACAGCAACGCGCAGTGAACATGGACAAAGTACTGTGACTATGTGTCCCAGTCCACCCAGCTGTGAATGGGTACGTCGTTAGGATGCGAAAGCCACAATAACTCGGTGCGCCTAGTGGCTGCAAGAGTTGTATACTCCCCAGGGAGTTGAGATTGATAATGCGATGTGCTGTTCAGATTGACATCCAATGATCGAGGGAAAAATACCAGCGCCTTGAGCATGCACCAGTGCGTGGATATGTGCGATATATAAATATCCTAATAATAATAATAATAATAATAATAACATATTTCCCAAATACCGAGATAAAATCATTAAAGTTTTTTAAATCTAATTTGTTATTGATGAACATAAAGAATTTTCTGGGTTACATCATATTTTTATTCTTGAGTACAACGTTTCAGGGCTTGTTCTGGTCCCATCATCACGTAAAACTCATTTGTTATTGCAAAACAAGGATTTTTTAAAATCCTAAATTGAATTGATCTGAACAAATAATACTGACATTGTGTACAAACATTTGAAACATTCTTCAGAAATCTAAATTTGGCGGCCATCTTGGAATTTTGCCAACACCAGGGGCGCTACATACTAGATGTAAATTACATACAGCACTATGACGAACATTCCTTAATAAAATACTGAATATGATAAGATAATTATGATATATTGAGCATAGACTGACATACTTATAGATTTCAGTCGACCTGGCGGCCATCTTGGATTTTCTGCCACCAGGGGGCACTGCTGAGGTGGATCCATATCCAGAAATGTTTAGAATTGTTCGATGTATCAGTGTGCCAAGTTTGGTGCTTTTAACCCAAAGTGCACAATTTTGACAAAATCCTCGCCTTAACCACCCCACTATCGATCTTTTGACTCTTTTAAAGTTGTTTAAAGAAAACCTAAGACAACGGAGAAGGGCAGACTAGGCATTTAGTTCAGTGAGTGGCCAAGTTCATTTTCTAGTTAGTTGTGCTAATCAGCATAAACTTCTAGCCCAGACTGAATTTTCATTCTGCATATTAGGAGTTCGGCGTTATGGGAGTGAACCAATGTGTATATATAAATTAAAAAAATATTCTTCATGCACGTGCATGCTGAGGCCGTATGGGCTGAAAAGAACAATTCCGCGGCTTAATGGAAATTTTGACGTTTTGTATTTTAACACGATCAAGCAATTCATCTAACTTGGATCAAAGACTTTCTTCAAGTAATATAAGTCCCCTTGAACCTCGAAATAGGGTGACTTGCAGTCGCTATCCATAATTATATACGTTATCGATTCCAAGAGCAATAAATATACATATGCTTTGTCACTCCTACTTACAACTGTGTAGACAGATGCTCATGATGTCAATCACTGGATTGTCTGGTCCAGACTCGATTATTTACAGACCGCAGCCATCTAGATGGAATATTGCTGAGTGCGGCGTTAAACAAAACACATAACAAAATAAATCCTTATGCACATGCCCAATTCATTCTATAACACTTTTTCTTTAACTTTAAAATTTAAAAACTTTGTACACTTGAACATGGCGTATGTGTCCATGTCAACAACGATGTCCAGTCTGGGCTAAAACGCTGTCAGTAATCCGCAGGGTTTATCAGTAGACGGGATGATCTTTTCACACATGAATCTGAACTCTGAGCTACAGTCGTACGTCCTCCAGTTGTGAGAGATCCGCGACATGATTATACAGTCTCCCCGTAGTTGTGGCAGGATCCGCGTCCCAGTTAGTGAACGGTCCTACCGTTGCCCCCGTCACCCACTTCACGGTCCCACTGTCTTTCTTTGCCCCGATCCACAACGTTGCCGCTGTAACGAGAAAAATACATCGTCGTCGTTATTGACAATGCCGTTGTTGTTATGATTAAGACATAATAATCATGCTATGCTAATAAAAAACAATAATAACATAGTTTTATTCAGTTTTAGACCCGTGAACATCCGGGCTAGAATTGGTCTTCAGTAACCCATGCTTGTTGTAAGAGGCGACTAACGGGATCGGGTAGTCAGGCTCACTGACTTAGTTGACACATGTCATCATATCCCAATTGTGTAAATCGATGCTCATGATGTTGATCACCGTATTATCCGGTCCAGATTCGATTGTTTACAGACATTTTTTATTAATGTTCCGCAAGGAGCTTTTTTGTGAGAATCGTAAGACGGCACACAAATACTATTGTTTCTGTTGGACTTACTGACTGACTGAGTTTGGTTTTACGCCGCTTTTAGCAATATTCCAGCAACATCACGGCGGGGAACACCAGAAATGGGCTTCACACATTGTACCCATTGACGAGCCAACGCTTTAACCACTAGGCTACCCCACCGCCCCGTTTCTGTTGGAACCCGGTTAAAATATGATTTGTTTTAGTACCCGGTTATAATACTCTTTTCTTTGGTACCCAGTTAAAATTGTTCCCTTGCACAGTATTGTCAGTAGTGAGAGACTAAGCGACAAAACTGATCAGACAACACATCTCAGTGCCTATAAGCATAGGCGGATGTTCATGACGTCACTCCCTGGCTTGTCAAAGCTCCGTTTTATATTCACAGAAATGAGCAAGTTGGGTATTACTGCAGGTGGAATAAATTCCAGTTACATGTGTTCACCTGATGCAAGAGAAAACCCGAATTAATAAAGATCTAAGATCTTTTCTACTTTGAAAAAACGACGAGTTACCCAAAACAAAGTACTCATGTCTGAGGGAATAGACACAGTGTAACCGCTAGTGTTGATGAGATACGAGATGAGAAAGCCATGCGCTTTATTACATATATAGTCTCCCAGAGAGTCCTGCACCATGCTGGAGTAATCTACAGCTGTGACTTCAGAATTGGTCTTCAGGAACCTTGCTTGTCGTAAGAGGCGACTAACATGATCGGGTGGTCTGGCTTGCTTACTTGGTTGACAAATGTCATCGGTTCCCAATTGCGTAGATCGATGTACATGCTGTCGATCACTGGATTGTCTGGTCCAAACTCGATTATTTACAGACCGCCGCTACTTAGCTGAAATACTGCTGAGAACGGCGTTAAACAACAAACACACCAACATGCACAAATCAGTACAAATTGCTGCAAAGTATTTATAATGGCAGTTCACAATATACTGGCAGTGCGAAATTCCGTTAATGTGATAGAGTAGTGCTTACCTCGTGTTTCGCCCATAGCAGCCAAATACTTGTCTTTGTATGATTCGTCCGTGACAGCCAGCCGGCCTCCAATACTGTTACAGAAACTGACCGCCGAGGTGAAGTTCCGCTTATTCACCCATTCCCCGTATAAGCACTGACCAGTGGGTTTGTGATATAAAAACGGCTCCGGACACAAATCTGAAATAAGCGAGTTTTTTTTAAAACATATTTTATTGATATATATGGTTAATGAGATTGGGAAAAAGTCCAACTTTGTTTCCTTTCTAAGTATTTTCCCCAAGGCGCACCTCCATGCCCTTTTTTATTTGGCACCCTGTCCTTTTCATTTGATGCCCTTCGTTTTAATACAATAAAATATTAACGCTTGTTGGTTTTTAGTTTCTATTTCATGTTGAAGTTAAGTGAAATAACTGCGCTCCTTGAGTCTTCAAGAATCCTATGTATGCGTAACCTCACATAATACTTGGAAAAATGTCATTGCTTGCCTCCTTTGAACTTATGTCGCTCTGGATTCTGGGAGAAACACTATATTCCTTGAGAGAAAAGTTGTGCAAGTAGTCGAGTAATATTTTCAATCCAGTATATTGATTTCTGAGTTTTTTTCTGTCCAACTAATCGATCACGTCCACATTGAATATTGTGACTCTGCATGGTGCCATCCATTAATATGTATGCTATTGCTCTAAAACGCCCACGAGGATGAAAATACATTTTCTATAAAACAGCAGTAAAAGCTGGGATGGTGGGGTGGCCTAGAGGTTAAAGCGCTCTCCCTTCACGCTGAAGGCCCTGTTTTGAATTCTGCATGAGAAATACGTGAAGCCCCTTTCTGGACGAATCCGGGGCTGGAACCATTCATCAAAGACATATCACAAGGGATTCAGCTCGGATACACCCAGAATTGCGGCGATTAAATAGATCAGGCTCCGGTTCCTCGACACAAACATAAGTCTGAATTTTGACTTCAGTTAGAGTTTAAGTCAAATTTGAGAATACGCAGGTTGACACATGTCATCGGTTCCCAACTGCGCAGATCGATGCTCATGCTGTTGATCACTGGGTTGTCTGGACCAGACTCGATTATTTACAGACCGCCGCCATATAGCTGGAATATTGCTGAGTGCGCCGTAAAACTAAACTCACTAACTCACTCACTTATCCGTGGGATTCAACTTGCACAGCAAACAACTATTCAAAAATCATTTGGAAACTAAACCTTAAACAGCAGAAGTGCGGCTACCTGTTCCATTTCTATAGTTCGGTAAGTAGAATATGGACTACAGCTGCTGAGTATCTCTTTTGCGATTCTTTTTCTTTTCGGTTGAGGAAGAGGCGAGCGTTCTTTTTTTAAAATAACTACCTCCCTCGGCTGTATCCAACAAAGTGTATATTTACAGAGCACCATCAGACAATGTATCCATTGTCACTATCAACAGAAACCATGTTACTTGGGTTATTTCCAAATACTTTATTAATTCCACCCAAAACGACATTCGAAATTCTGTGTGACAGGAACTATTTGGCAAACAGTCAGTGACAGGGACTATTTGACAAGCAGTCAGTGACAGGGACTATTCACCAAACAGTCACCAGACCAGTGACTAATTGGAAAGCAGTCAGAGACCAGAGATTAGTGGTCAATCGCCGGTGACTGTTCAATGTGTGTTTACTAAGTTAATACATGCCTCTTCGACCGCGTTCATTGTGTGTCATATATTGTAACAGGTTAGCCTGACCCAGGTTTGATAGTTTGCGTGTTTTGGAACACTGCTGACAGAGTAAACAACAATAAGCTATTCGATCGTCTGAAGGTTTTTGAGAGTTCATTTCGCTTTTTGTTACATTTGAAAGAAGGATCAATTTTAGTCCAGATGAAATTGCAGATTCATAGATGTTACTTGCAATCAATGCCTTAAGAACTATAGCAAGCTGCATTAAAAACAAAAGCAAGCTGCATCAAACCGTTAGTGGAATAGGTTTTGAAGGAGATTGTACTTTTCAATTTTAGTATCGAGAACTCTTGGACTGAGAAGTACTTTATTTATAACTGTTCAGTACTTCAGTAACACATCCACTTCAACCTCTGCTTTAATCCTTTTGTTTAACCACCGACATCGGGAGATCAATATCGACGTATAGAAAGCATTCTTTGATGAGGTCAATTTTGTTAAAGCTAAGATTTATCAATAATAACCATCAATGTCCGTCGCTATTGATTCATTGTTATCTGTCCGTTTCCGTCCGTAGAATCGATTGAACTGGTGGACCTATGAACCTTTATGTATCATGATCAGATTGTACTTAGTGTAACATGTGTAGTATTCCCGGAAATTATTGAGAAAGTTGTTTCGGCAAATATCTAATACATGTATATATATAGACTATAGACGTTTAATTAAATGGATATGTTGAGATATGATTATCTTACAGTCTAAGTGTCTTTTCGGTACTTTGTGAGACCTCCTTGCCCTGCAATACACGACTGAATGCGCCAAGGTACACTATCGATCGAAGTTTGTAAGAAGTCGTTTATCCCTGACTCGACCAATACTTTCTTCATATCCTCAATATTTCTGAGTCCGTTTTGGTTTGTTCTGTCCTTCATTAGTCCCCACACATTCTCAGTTGGGTTAAGATCTGGGGTGTAGCTGGGCCAGTCTAAAACTTGAAGATTTCCGTTCGACAACCACTGTTTTGTGTAGCCCGCAGTGTGTTGTGGGTCGTTATCATGCTGGAAAATCCAATTATCTACATACAGTATTCGGGCCGTTGGAATGAGGTGACCATTTAAGATTGTCAACATATCGTTCCTTCGTCAAATTGCCAGTGAAAATACACAACGGCGTTACTCCACGTGATGATATTCTACCCAACATGTGTAATTTCGGGCTATATTTTGGGCGTTGGTTGATAGGTTTCACTGTATCTTTTGTCCAGATTTTCACACAGCTCGGAGAAAGCCAGACAGAACTTACATCAGAAAAGAAAACATTATCCCAATCTTCATAATCGTGAGCCCTTCACCAGTTTAAACGTCTTTCTTTTTGTGCATCTTTCATCAATGGTGAGGGAATTCCTCTCTCTTTTCACCCAGTTAAGTCTTTGTAAGTCTTGTCTAAGGGTTTCATTACATACCTGAGGACTTCCTCTATTAATCATCTCATTTCTGATATTCTCAACGCTTTTCAGTTTTCTCCTACCACAATCTGACCAAGTCGCTGGCGATCCGTAGTGCTGAACTTCTTTGGCCTCCCTGCCCTTGTCTTGTGCTCAAGCCCAACTCCTGACTAAATATTTTTCAACGTTCTGTATACTGTAGACAGAGGAATGTCATGTCTGCTGTAGACAGAGGGATGTCATGTCTACCAGCTAACTCTTTTGCATTAGTCACACCCCTTTCAAAATCATCTAGAACCAGCTTTCTTTTCTCTTCTGCAGTCAAATCTACCATGTCAACAAAGGAAGCCGTCTGCTACACCAGGGGAGATAACTCTTGATGTAGTAAGGTTCATTCTTAAGCCTACAAGAGTTGCCTCCCATATTGAGTACCCTACTACAAAATGTAACACCTACTTTAAAGTTCTATAATCAGTATTAGGAAACAAAGAATTTCTCAATAATTTATTGGCAAACTGTATTCAGGAGCTCTTGATAGCTTAACGTATGCGTATTCTGCCCAGAAAGGTGAGTGAGTGAGTGAGTGTGAGTGAATGAGAGAGTGGGTGGGTGGGTCGGTCGTTCAATCGGTCGGTCGTCCGGTCTGTGAGTGATTGAGGCAAGCATTTCAGCTGGACTATGATAATAGGGGACACCATGTACAAAGCTACTTTTACATTTTTCCTTAAAACAATTACTTCAGTTAATAATCAGTTTATTTCACAGTATGTCAACATCAATCGGCGGAGAGAGCATAAAACAAGATCTGGTCAGCTTGGTGTCAGCAGACTATGTCTCTGAGAGATATCCAACAGCTATAAACTGGGTGCCATGATTAAAGGACGACCAATGATTTTTACTGTCTAAGGTCATGATAAACGCTAAACGACACTGCTGTATTTCCTTCACCACTGAAACTACGGGTTAGAATTGGTCCACGAAGTAATAATTATGTACGCTGTGAACATTCTCTCGATGAAAGCTCATGATATTTAGGATTGTCAAAAAAGAATATTCAGGTTAGAATTGGTCTTCCGTAACCCGAGCTTGTCGTAACAGGCGGCTAACGGGATCGGGTGGTCAGGCTCGCTGACTTGGCTGACACATGTCATCGTATCCCAATGCCGTAGATCGATGCTCATGATGTTGATCACTAGACTAACGTTAAACAACAAACAAAATAAATCCGAGCTGATACCTCCCACACCCCAACCGTAGTAGTTGACGTCAGCCGTGACTGTGAACGGAGTTGCGTTGGAGAACGTTTTGCTGGTGTAGCATTTGTCGTTGCCGTAGAAAAAGGAAGAGCACCGGAGGTCTTGGTAGCATGTGTGGATGCAGTCGGAGAACTGTGACGTGACGCCCACGTGACTGACGTCCAAGACGTTGGAGTATATCAAGGCAACCGTGATGGCGGTCATGGTGTCTGCAACATAGACATGTCATCTGTTTGAATTATTACAATTGATGATGATGATGATGATGATGATGATAGTGATGATGATGATGATGAAGAATTATTATAATTGATGATTATGATGATGATGAAGACTTATTATAATTGATGATTAAGACTATGATGATGATGAAGATGAAGAAGAAGAAGAAGAAGAAGAAGAAGAAGAAGAAGAAGAAGAAGAAGAAGAAGAAGAAGACTTATTATAATTGATGATGATGATGATGATGAAGAATTATTATAATTGATGATTATGATGATGAATTATAATTGATGTGGTGGTGGTGGTAAACATTATCATTGATTCACACACGTGTAACAAAACTATACCCTTGTCACGATTTTGTGACCGCACCGTTGTCCTCCAGTGAAACATTCGTGACCAACTCGTGTTAGTCCGGGACAAGCCGAGGTCACGGAAAAGGACAAGGGGTGACGTACGCTAACTACATTGTCCTGTTTCCCCGTTGCTGTCCAATGTACTTACCAGATTTGTCAGAGAATTGGTGACCCGTGGATTATATTCTCAGTTGTTATTTTGCCTGCTTGTCGTTAAGCACCACCTTCAGCAACATTCCCGCTATGTGGTGGCGGTCTGTAAATAATCCAGTCTGCACCAGACAATCCAGTGATCAACATCATGAGCATCGATCTACGCATTTGGGATACTATGACATGTGTCAACCAAGTCAGCGAGCCTGACCAGCCGATCCCGTTTATCGCCTTTTACGACAAGCATGGATTGCTGAAGACCAACTCTAACGCGGATCTTCACAGGTTTATAGATTGACGTACACACGAAAGTACACACCTGATGCTTTGGCAAAATGTTTTCCTGAAAACAGCGTAATATTTAGAAAAGTGTTTTGATTGGCACTCACAAGTCACAAACTTGTACTTGTTGCAATAACACCATAGACATCGTACCCAATTGGAACATTGCTAGCAAAATATTTACGTTGTTTTGATAGTCTCAAAACACCAGGTGTGTACTTTCTTTTGTACATCAGTATATTCTTCAGCGAGACATTATTTTTACCATGTACGAGTTAGATATACATGTATGTTGTCACACAGGTTTGCTACCGCTTTGTTTTCACAACTTGGATTTTTACCCATTAGCGGAATTATCTAGTAATCCATATATGTCACGTGTGTTCAATGTTATGTTTGCCTCCTCGATAATTGTACATAGCTGAATGTAAATCTTTAGTAGTTCAGTTGTGGTAGTTGAGGTACTCACGTCTCCGGTATTAGAATAGTAGTTATGTTGCTGCTCGGATTTCCTCTTCGTTAAGAATCACGAACGTTTTAATATCAAAGCCTTTTCCTCCTATTACATGGTCTCTGCATGAAGCGGCGGTGGGGTAGCCTAGTGGTTGAAGCGTTGGCTCGTCACGCCGAAGACCCGGGTTCGAATCCCCACATGGGTACAATGTGTGAAGCCATTTTTGGTGTCCCCCGTGGTGAGATTGTGTCAATAGTGTTAAAAGCGGCGTAAAACTAAACTCACTCACATACTTTCTGACGCGTTACTGAAAACTTAGGTTCTTGGTATTCTTCTCGGGACTTACTCAGGTCATACAGTCCGTCTCACAGTCTCCCTGCACCACATTATTTTCCCTACTGCCTACCCTCCCTGCAATGCGAGAGCAACAAATGAAGCAAGTCTAGATTCCTCAGGTTCTGAATCGCACTGGGGATCCTTTTCAGTTTAAATGGGATTAAATTGCTATCAAAATTATATAATTCATTATATAATTATTATTCAGAGTCCAAGAGTAAGTCTATCCGGTGGCCGAAGTTTTTTCAGCTGGGGGTTTCTTATATCCCGTTCGTTTTAGTTGTATGTGGAAAAGCAACCTTCCCATGATTGTGTGGATTTGGTTAAGTGCCTATTTGTTATTGAGAGTCAAATTACTCCTTTGGTCCAGTGCCTTTCCGGATTATTGTGAGTATATACTGACTGACTGACTGAGTTTGGTTTTACGCCGCTTTTAGCAATATTCCAGCTACATCACGGCGGGGGAACACCAGAAATGGGCTTCACACATTGTACCCATGTGGGGATTCGAACCCGGGTCTTCGGCGTGACGAGCCAACGCTTTAACCACTAGGCTACCTCACCGCCTTGTGAGTATATACCCTGCAGACATCATATTTCGTTTTGTCAGGAAATTTAGATTCCTTTGTGAGTCAACGAGTCTTTAGTCAATAATGCTATTTTCTTTTCATACATATTCCGTCTATTTTATACTCTAAGAGGCACGTGACATATTAGGCTGTTCTCAGTGCGTATTCTTCACTATTTTATCCCAGAAGAGCGTATTCACTTTTTAGAGAGTTGAGTTAATTAACACCGTCACTGCTTCCTGTCTATATCTCGTTACAGTGTAGTGTTAGCCTCTTTGTAGTAGAGTCACTGAACGACATTTAGAAGTAATACAAATAAAGGCGAATATTCATGGATGTCAACTTCTCTATTTTGAGGAACACAACGTTTCAGAGTATATTCTTACTCCTTTGACCCGTGAAGATCCGAGTTAGAACTGATCTTCAGCAACCCATGCTTGTCGTAAGAGGCGACTCACGGGGTCGGTGGTCAGGCTCGCTGACTTGGTTGACACATGTCATCGGTTCCCATTTGCCTAGATTGATGCTCATGCTGTTGATCACTGGATTGTGAGTCCAGACTCGATTATTTACAGACCGCCGCCATTTGGTTTTAGATACATTATATTGTCGTTCATTGATACAGTTATCTCATAGTGATAAAATCGTTAACTTTTACCATTTTTTCTTTACCAATTATTTCTTGTACCCTTGTTTTATGGGTGGTAAGGTAGCCTTGTGGTTAAAGCGGTAGCTCATCACGCCGAAGGCCCGGGTTCGATTCCCCACATGGGTGCAATGTACGAAGCCAAATTCTGGTGTTCTGTGATATTGCTGGAATATTGCGTAAAGCGGCGTAAAACTAACTCACTCACTCACAGAAATCACTCATTCTACTTCACCTGTGTAACGTCGCGGGCGGTTACCATAATCTTAGTCTACCTGACAAGGGGGTAACTAGTTCAGCTCGCTAACTCACTCACTCATTCACTCACGGATTATGACACTCTGGTGACATTAGCAAGGCACAGTGACATTAAAACATTAATACAGTATATTGATGTTCAGATTCCCTTAGGGGGTTTCACTAGTTGAAAACACGTCCTTCTTTCGTCAAGTCTTCCTTATAGATAAAACCGTTGTCATGCAAAAATTTGTTGCATACGTATCTATTAGCAACGATGCAACACTGATACTGAATTAGTTCCGTGTCATGATGAGGATTATAAAGATAAGCCTTAGATCTGTTGGCAGTCATTGCAGGAACAAACGAAGCTTCCCATGAATCTTATACGCTGAGCTATTGTGGTGTATATGTAGTGGCTGTCCAAGCGCCTCAAAGAGAATCAAGAGGTCTTTGAGCACCAGGGCTTAGAAATAATCTAGAAAAGTATTGTTCTTCGTAAACTATATGATAACGTAAGACTTTTTTTACTTACATCTCTGATATATCTATGGAAACCCGGTGACGTTACATTACCATCCAAAATCAACTACTAGAATTTGTAAGAAAAATTCATTAGTTTTGAGTGAGTGAGTGAGTTTGGTTTTACGCCGCTTTTAGCAACATTCCAGCAATATCACGGCGGGGGACACCAGAAATGGGCTTCACACATTGTACCCATGTGGGGAATCGAACCCGGGTCTTCGGCGTGACGAGCAAACGTCTTAACCACTAGGCTACTCCACTGCCCCACTAGTATTGAGTGCGTGTAAATGTATCACTAACCAGCTTTAGTGCAGTTTGGTTGCTGGCGTCATTTGATTATGACGTCATGCTAACTGCTGAAGTCACAATTTCGGCAAAACATTGTGATACAATTTCATTGTTCTTAATATGTTATAATATGAGAGCGACTAACGGGATCAGATGGTCAGGCTCACTGACTTGGTTGACACATGCCAACGTATCCCAGTTGTGTAGATCGATGCTCATGCTGTTGATCATTGGATGTCTGGTCCAGACTCGATTATTTACAGACCACCGCCATATAGCTGGACAATTGCTGAGTGTGGCGTAAAACTAAACTCACTCACTCACTATAATATGAGATGTATTGCTGTTAATCTGATATTGAGAACATAAGTTTAGTTTTACGCCGCTTTTAGTAAAATTCCAGCAATATCACGGCGGGGGACACCAGAAATGGACTTCACACATTGCAACCATGTGGGGAATCGACCCCTGGTCTTCGGCGTGACAAGCCAACCTTTTCACCACAAGGTTGTCCCACCGCAACGCTTAATCTGAAAACCTTTGGCAGATTATTGAATGTGGCGGCCATTTGGAAATCCAACATGGCCGCCAATGGGATGATGGGGCAAATTGGAAACATCGCTTTTCACATCGAGTGTAGTGAGTGGTTTAAGAATATGTATACTGTTGCTAAGCTCCAATTTCTATGAACGAAAATACATAATACCATGGACTATGTATGGAATCCGAGAAGGGACATTGTCGCGTTGTCGCATTGTCGCCCTCTCAAAAACAATTAAAATGAGGCAAAAAAAAAAACGCGACACGCGACAACACGACATTTCGCCCATTTGTCGCATTGTCGCGATGTCGCGTGTCGCGTTTTGGTTAATTTTGCCTCATTTTGCTTGTATTTGAGAGGGCGACAATGCGACAATGCGACAACGCGACAATGTCCCTTCCGGGATTCCATAACTATGAGACGTATTGCTCTTGATCTGTGATCACGTGAGACGTATTGCTGTTACTGCTGTCGGTATACCAACAAAGAGGTATAACATAATATATCTATCCTAAGCTATGTTATTGCATCATTTGATCATTTGAAACTCGCTTCCCAGGGGAAATATTATTCAGGCTGTCCGTGTAATTTCTGTG